AGCCCATTTTTACCAAATGCATTGCTCCCTTATCATCTTTGATTCTTCTTATATTCTCTGCATTTATTCTACACATATTTTTTGTTGTGGTTTTCAGCAGCAGATGATGGCAGACCCAATGATGGTACCACAGCAACAGGGTTATGGCCCACCATCAATCCCAACTCCAACCGCCATGATTATTAAGCAAGCAACTATGTCTCCCCTTCCAACGCAGCGCCTACTGCCCTCTCCGACTCCATCCCGCCGTTCTGTCATCATGCGCTCCCCACAGATGCAGCGCCATACTTCTGCCATGAGTTCCCCAGTACCATCTCCTATGCTTCCACACAGACGAAGCCCCTCTCCACAACCATCAATCAGGAGTGGGTTTATTAATGCCCAAAGACCCCCTTCTCTTATGTCAAGACAGCTCTCACCACCTTCCTCCCCCATGGCATCCCCCCTCGCCCGTCGTAGAATGTCACCTCAGAGATCATCGTCTCCCCCAGCTCAAAGACCCTCATTTCCTCTCTCGCCCCGTCCTTCTGTGATTCGGCGAAGTCCGCCATTGTCACCGAGGGCATCAATAAGGCAGCGTTCTCCACCTTCCTCACCCCGTGCTTCCATGAGGAGGCGAAGTCCCTCACCCTCACCCACTCCAGCTCGCAGCCCATTTGGGCCACCCTCCCGTCCCCTCTCCCCTGCTCATGCATCTCCCCCTCTCTCTCCACAGCTCAGTAGAAGACCATCTCCCTCGCCCTCCCTGTCTCGTCGGAGTTTATCCCCTGCGGGACCCCGACCTGCTCCATCATCTCCTACCCTCTCTCGTCGTTCAACTCGGCTCCTCAGGGACCCCACCCCATTGGCCAGGCCTAGGATGGGTGGAAATGTTCCTTTAGGTACTGTCAGACCCTCCCCTATGGGTCTCCGAGGGCGTCCAGTGCCCCCACCAACCCAAAATGTGCGTCCATTTCGTGCCTCTTCTTTAAGAAGCAATAGATCTTCAGTTCTCACAACAGACTCCTCACTCTTCTCCTCCCCTTTCCACTCCCCGCACATGATCCACCGTGCTCCCCTGGGGAGGAGAGAATCTGGCAGAATTCCTCCTCGCCCCATAGCTCGAGGACGTCCCCTCATGGCTCAGCAATCTATGAGAAGGATGCCACCTGCATCTCCACAGCCCTCCCTTAAACACATGCCACATCCTGCATCCCCACGCCTCTCTCCTCGGCTTTCTCTTCAGTCCTCACCTCTTCTGCCTCCTCGTGCTGCCCATCCATCTTCTTATGTGCCCACTGGCCCCACTGCTGATCCTTATACTGACCAGTTTGTTTCCCCAACTTTGCCCATGTTACCCGGTGCTTTGCAGAATGAGGCTATTCAGCAGGCCTCTTTCTCGTACCCCTTTAGTCCAGGTGCAGCCCAGATGGCTAGTGATTATATAGAACCTCATGTTCCCTCATCCCCTCTGCTTCTTGATGCAATGCAAAACCAGGTCATTCAGGGTGCACCCTATGTTCCCTCAATGCAGAGACCAATGTCACCATATGAACAGCCTATGCCCCCTTCTTCTCCAATGCTGTCTGGAGCTCTGCAAAACCAGGCAGTGAGGGAAGCATCCTATGTGTCTCCTCTTCAAAGGCCTCAGTCCCCATATGCCCCATCTGTACCTTCATCTCCAATGCTCTCTGGAGCCATGAGACATGGTCAGGCATTAAGACGTGTGTCTTCTTATCAGGTTCCACAGGTTCATTCACCATATGGACCAACTGTTGTTACCCCGTATGATTATATCTCTGAGCCTGGCCCAGCACCACTGCTTCATGATGCCCTCCAGAACCGATCTGGCTTGCAGAATGTTTCATCTTTAAGATCCCCATTGATGCCACGCCATAAACCTTATGGACCTGAGCTCCACAGTGCATTACAACGGAACCCAAATATCCGTCAAGCATCATATCAGACACCTGTGCAACTCAGACGTTCCCCATATGGAACCCCATCACCCTCTTCACCAATGTTAGGACGTGCCCTGCAAAACCCACAGCTGATGCAGGCATCATACCGGTTGCCAGACGGGACTTTGGTGTCACCATATGCAGATCCACGGTCCTCCCCATTGCTCGGCCATGCCTTGCAAAATCAACAAATCCGTGGAGCCTCGTATGCCTTGCCTGACGGATCAGTTATCAGAGTAAGTATATCCAGGAACATCTGAAAATAACAATACAGCTTGAGATGTATGTTTGTCTTCATACAAAAAGTTATTATTACAATCGTGATTAGAATTAAACTCTCCTGTATCACTCCCCACCCACACAGGATCC